CCTATCACTCACTCAGACGCTCTCTCTTTTTCTCAATTTCTTCCTTCATCGTTCGCTCCAGGGAATCGGTAGGGATTTAGAAGTTGAAGTATTTGAAAAAGTAAATCACAGATGACTGTTTGTAAGCCTTGTGTGTGTGTTTGTGTGTTATATGTTATGTGTACAGGGCACAGATCTGCACCTCCACAGAGAAACCCATGAGATCAGGTGTCGGATGGCCGAGCTGAGCCCAGGGAAACACGGACGGGCTCTGTGTCTAATGTGCTATTTTCTGCCTTCCTCATTTAAGCTCAAGCCAGCAAGGTCAGAGGCACAGCGCAGACCCCGGGGAGGAGGGGCAGGAGTTTACGATAGGCTGGAAATGTATCTATGGTGGCCAGAACACGTGGCTCAATAAGAGCCCAGAAACACCAGAAACACATCACATGAATCAAGACTCCAAGCATTTATATTTAAAAACATCTGTGAATCTTCTTTCTTATTTCCACTGAACTATTGAACTTTCTGTAGTCGTCCAGAAAAGTAGCCAACTTGTTGGCAGGTCAATGTTTTACTTATGTAAAATGTTGTGCAGCATCAGCAGTCTGACAGCCAGCTGGAGAGAGTGTCCCACGCAGACGAGAAACGAAAGTTTGCATCTCTCTGTTGATGCTGCTTGTGCTGGAAGTGGCACTTCCCACTTGCTTACAGTTTCTGTCCACTTCTGGACAACACTTGGTTGGTTTTAAGTGTCTCGGACAGTTTGCACACTACCGTGTAGAATTATTTTGTTTTAAAGGATCACGTGACACTGAAGACTGTAGTAATGGCTGATGAAAGTTCAGCTTTGCCAACACAGGAATAAGTTACATTTTAGAATATATTAAAATAGAAAGAAATTATTTTAAATTGTAATGATATTCGTACATCTGAACGATTGTGTATGTAGCTTATTTTGGCTTGTATGTAAACAGGTTAGCATGCAAACACATGACAGTGCATCAAGTGCAACTGAAGTCATGTGATCTATGACTAATCATCAGTTATTTTCTATAAAGGTTCAGTGTTAACAGCTAAGTGGAAGTGAGTGGTCTAAACCTCAGCAATCAGATGATTAGAAAAGTGCAACACTCCATTACTAGTTGCAAGTCTCTTTATGAAAGCACAGTGATTCTACAGTGCCATCTATTGGCAACTGGGTTTCATGCATTGTGATACTTCTGTCCAAAACTAGTAACATCCAAAAGGCATGACATTATACATGTTATGCTGTAGTATGCCTTGCTTTCTCTCTCTCTCCCCCTTCATGATCATTTTCACTGTTTACTAAAGGGATGGTTCACTAAAATGAAAATTGTGCCATTTACTCACCCTCATGTCATTCCAAATCTGAATGACTTTCTTCTATGGAACATGTCTCTTTTGGTCACCATCAGCATTCTTCAAAATATCTTCTTTTGTGTCCCGCAGATGAAAGAAAGTCATACAGGATTGAAATGATATGAGGGTGACTAAATGATTACAGAAGATTCCTTTTTGGGTGAATGATCCTTTTAAATCACTGACAACTTGGGCTCAACAACTTTTTTTTACAATGCTTTTTTTATACTTGTTAAACATAATGGTTTTATTTAATTTACAAAATAAATGTGAAATTCTGCAACAAGTGGAAAGTTATTTGGTTTTAATGACTATAAAGTCCATAAATAACCACGAAAAACGACTATGAAAAAAGTAAGAAGCTGTCAACACATTCTTCCTCATGCTTTCAAGACTATAATTTCTGCAAATTCGACAACACCTTATCTAGGCTAGATAGATAATCTTGATGACAAATCAGCAGCCACAACAATGTGGAATACATCAAAGCAAAACCAAACATTTAAGGTTACAAGGCATAAAATAGGCCCAAAAGGACAACTGTTCTGGCTCACACACTGGCCCAGCAGGCCGTCTTTATTGACGAGTAACACTCAACAATAAGTAATCGCTGTAACACCTGTGGTTGGAGACTATGAATACTGAAAAGTTTCAGAGAATGATTTTATCAATTATTTTATCAACTTGACATTCTGCCGATTAATATGGTAGATCTGAGTTTGTTTCTTTATCGAAACCGATTTAGAAAAATATATCATTACATCACTTGCTCACCAATGGATCCTTTGCAGTGAATGTGTGCCGTCATAATGAGAGTTCAAATAACTGATTAAAATGACTCCAGCCAAACAATTGTCTTGTGAAATGAAAAGCTGCATGTTTTTAAGAAACAAATCCATCATAATCCACCAAATCATTAACTTAAAAATAAGGCTGTCAATTTAAGGTGTTAATGTGGCACGATGTTATGGAAAAAATAATGTGTTAAAATTATTAACACTTTTAACGCACCCTGTACCTGTATAACATTCCTATTAGAATGCAGCTTTATGCACTGAAAATTCAAGACATGAGGGCGAATAATCCATTGATGAGCAAATGATGTAAGGCTACATTTCTCCAAATTTGTTCTGAAAACAACATCTTGGATAGCCAGATGATGAGTAAATTTTCAGCAAATTTAGATTTTTGGGTGAACTATTTCTTTAAACATTACATTATGCATTATTTATATTTAACAAATAACACAAAAACTGCCATTGTATAGCAACACAACATGATATGAAGATACATATTTTGGCTACCGTGCCATCTCAAATTCTAAATACTTTTTGGATAAACCAAATTATTACATTTTCACTACAGATTATTGTTGTCATCATGCTCCTGATGACTATTGCTTGGCTACGAACCTCATCTTTACTAAAACGTGACTGAAATTAACTGATCATATCACACTCACACCATCTGTGTGACCTTTAAGGGAGTGACCCCTGTAGGGAATGAGATGCTTTGCTCCCTCCTTCCCATAATCCTTACTGAGCGTTCTGCCAGGGGGTTAAAGGTCATCAATATAGAATGGAAACACTTTCAGTCACTCACTCCTGGGGCCCGTTTCAATAAGGAGGTTCAACCAACTCTGAGTTAAAACTTGAACTCTGAGTTGACTTACCCTGGTCCCCGAGATGGGAAACTCTGATTTTTCGGTTTCAGAACAGCTGAATTGTGTTAGTTCAGTCAACTCTGAGTAGGTTGACTGAGTTTAGCATGTGCACCACG